GCTCTGTCACCCTCACAGGAAAGAAGTTCTTCCTCACATGGAGATGGAACTGCCTGTGTTTCAACTTGCACCCATTACCCCTTGTCCTGTCACTGGCCACCACCAAGAAGAGTTTGACTCCATCTTCTTTACATTCTCCCCTCAGGTATTTATACATATTGATCAGATCCCCTCTTGGTCTTCTCCAGGCTTAACAGGCCCAGCTCGCTTAGTCTTTCCTCATAAGATAGACGCTCCAGTCCCTTAATCATCTTCGTGGCTCTCTGCTGGACCCTCTCTAGAAGCTCCACATCCCTCTTGTCCTGGGGAGCCCAGAACTGCACCCAATACTCCAGGTGCGGCCTCACCAGGGCTGAGCAGAGGGGCAGGATCCCCTCCCTCGACCTGCTGGCAACGCTCCTCCTCATCCAGGCCAGGATCCCATTGGCCTTCTTGGCCACCAGGGCACACTGCTGCCTCCCAGTTAACTTGCTGTCAACCAGGACTCCCAAATCTACCAATTTGGAAGTAATCTACAGACATTTCCTAGACAAGAATTTGTAATTCTGTTATCAAAAATCTGAAGTGAGTATTGGCAGAGTGTCTCAGAGCTTCACGGTTCAGAATCACCTGCATATGTTGAGCTCAATCCTGAATATGTTTGCTGGTGAAGCAGCAATATTCAGTGTCTTCTTGTAGCCTGGCCACCTCCAGAAGTCATAAATACCTCCTGGCAAGTAATGTCAGTAAGGAGTAATCTCAAGTTTGGACAGGAGACATGAAAATTGCTTGCAGTTTTATTTGTGGCACCCTAGGTCTAGAGGTTTTCATGAGGTCCTTGGCTGTAAAAATCTTTTCTTGTGCTCAGAGTTTTTCTCTTTTGTTTTTATTTACATAGGATAACCTGCCTTCTTGGGGTCCTTTCATTAGTCTCATAAAATATTGTTGGGTTCCTGTCTTCAATGACAGTCTAAATCACAGCCACTTTAGGAACCTTTTGATATTCTGTGTTCTTATACTCTCTGACAAATTTTGCTGAAAGAGGTTTTGCACAGTAATTGTTTGATGACAAAGTTAGGTTATTTTATGATTCAAAAAAATAATTTAGAGGAACAAATGTATTTTAGCATTTCAATGAATTAAGCCTTACAAAGTAAAAGGTATTTGTTCTTGATCCTTTCACAGAGATAAAACACTACTCTAAATCCGTAATTATTATGATTAGTGCAATGTGTGCTACAAATTTCAAGCAATAAATTTGTGTCTTATAAAAGACAGTTCAGAAACTGTAATGAATTTGCATCAATGGCTTAACTTATAATGCATCTGCAGTGGAGAATTTAATCATTCAAAGAGTTTATCACATAGTTCTATTGTTTTATACTTGTACCTATTTAAAAGAACTCAGAATCAAATTTTAAAAGTGTATCAGTTGACATAATTTAAATTTTAAAACTATTGGAAAATAATTCAACACTTGTAACCCACCCAGTGACTTTTATGGGATTGCATGGGCTCAAGTCAGGGCAGGTAAGTTTCATAAGAGCAAGAAGAGAACTTAAAACTAAGTCTCAAAACTGTAAAACCGTAAGCTGCAGCTTTTGCCTTCTATATCTCGTATCTCTTGGATGGATTTGCAAACTGCAGTGAAACAAGCAGTCCAAATCAGTTCCCTGTGCAGTGATGGAAATATGCTTGTTAACCACAGTAAGAGTTGGAGTGAGCCCTGAGTGACTATAGGAGTGATCAAAAGATTTGTATTATAGGAATGTACAGCTACACTGCAAGAAATTTTGCTTTCATTCTCTTTAAAGGCTTCAGACATCTCAGTGAAACCAAGGAAGATCACAATAGTAATTCTTATGAACACGCATGATTTTATCAAAGCCCTTACCTTTTGATGCTGATTTTTCTGCTATTTATGAATAAATCTGGACAATTATTTAGTTGTGTGTTTTTTTTTAATCAAACAATCCATCTTTTTGTACTGCTTTACATAGTAGTATCTAAACCCAGCCTGTGTGTTTGACTGGGTGCAATAACTGGCACTCTCAAGTTCGTGTCAGCATTTGTTCTGAGTTTCTATGACCAAGCAAGAGTGGAGCCTGTTGTGCTAGAGGCTGCTGACACTGGGGACTGCAGACTTCAGCCCTGGCAAGCCTGCAGGCCAAATGAGTCAACCCAAAGGATTTACAAGCCGTGAATCAGTGTGCTGTTGGCAAATGTCACACTTATTTTCTAAGTAAGTGGGGCAGAGTTTTGTCTCTGGGAGAGTTGATTAAACTGAAAAAGAAGGAAAAAAAAATAAAGGGAAAAAAAAAAAGGCAAGAGGGAACTGGTGAAACCAGAGAAGAAGAGGCAAAGCTAATGAACTTGGGAGTGAGGAACCTGCAAGGGGAGAGGGCATCAGAGAGAGGACAGACCCCTGGCTGGTACACTGTACAGGCTGGCAAACAGGGGCGTCTCCTCCACTGTGCCTGCTGTGGCGGTGGCTTTTCCTGCTCCTCTTGGTTGTCATCTCTTCTGGGATCTTGAGTCATTGCTCCTGAGCACTATTCGTGCAGCTCAAATGCGCAGAGGGTTGGACTAGATGACCTCTAGAGGTCCCTTCCAACCTTAAGCATTCTATGATTCTATGCAGTTTGAGGAAGGTTTGTCCTTTCCATGCCCCCGGTGCCCCCAAAAGAGTTGGTGATTCCTGAATTGGAAGAGCTGGGATCTCAGTGGAGCTGCTGCTGATGGAGGCTCCTGAAAGCCACCAGGATCGGTTTCTTTGGCTGGGATCATGGAAAAGCTGCTGTGGAGTTAACATCCCCATTGTGAAGGGAAGCTCAAAAGCAGAAGCTGATTCCCAAGCTTCCCTCAACACAAATACCAGTAACGCAAGGACCCATTACCAAGTCACAGCTAATCATCGGAGTAGTCATAAATGCTGATATTATATCTGACAACTAAAGAATCAGTTTCTGTTGGATCGAGAACAAGAGGAAGTGCCACCACGTGTGGGGTAATTGTATGGATTTTCCTGACAGCATTCTGGTAGTCAGAGAGCAAAAATGGATGTGCACTGTTACTAATGAGATGTGTATCTCCAGGGAAGTGCAGCTCTTCCCCTCTATGAGCTTTTGCTGCCTTGTGCTTATTCATCTACCCTAAAACCCAGAAACTGCACATGCCAGGGCTCTCTGCAGTTACACTGTGGAACGTTATACAGATGCTTGTGGCTTTAATAATAAACAGCACAAGAATGGATTCATATTTATATTCTTCTTTAAATATTTGTATTCATATAATGGAACATTGCCCATTTTTTCTCCGTAGGTGCCAGCTTGCGTGATGACATCAGTAAATACTTCTGGTTTCATCATTCTCGTGGGGACACAATGACAGTTCAGGATCCAAACCAGATGAATCTCTGTGCTGCTGTTTGGACTGTCGTCTCCTATGTAATTGCTGACATGGAGGAGATGTTGCCAAGGTAATAAAACAGCAAGAGAGAAGATTTCTGTTCTTCAGTAAAGATTATGAGTCCCCTAATGTCTGCAGTCTACATCTGTGGGAAATTCCTTTTTTCACGCTGCA